TTTTTTTGGATCACACCTGCTTCCCACCACACTAAGCTTGACAGATCTAAGAATCTCTTGGATGTGAGTCAAATTTCATATTTTGTAACAGAATTGTTTCCTTGCATTTGTGAGGCACCCTTCTTTCTCTGCTGTGACATTTGCTGTTGATTATGCCACCTGACACGAACACTTTGAAATCCAGCCTTTCATTCTAAAACCAGATTTAGACTGACTGCACATGAAGGGAAATTTAAATAACATGAACTGGAAGTTGTGTGGCACTAGATGCTCCCACTTACTCTCCCTGTTGAAGAGTCAGGAAAACATAGAATAATAGAGATGTTTAGGTTGGAAAAAACTCAAATATCAAGATAAGTGTTACTAAGCAGCCATGCTAATTACCAGTCACATGAAGGGGATGCTAGAAATGAAGAGGGTGTGCTTTGAGAGCACTCACATTTGCAGCATGTAGTTTTAAGGATACCTGTGATGTATGCAGAAGAACTTTAAAGATATGTATATAACCATAAGCTATATTTAGATAAGGAAAATTAAATTATGCCATATGGAATACATTTTTTTCCTGTTTGTACCTAAAACCATTTGGATGCAAAGCTCTATTACTAAGTATCTCTTTAAAGCTACAAGTAGGGTAAATAGGATTGCACCAGCATTTGGTGCAAATAGCATTGAAAACACCCATATGCTGCACAGGTACTCAATTTATTAGGTGCACTTCAATTTCACTAATCTTGTCACAGTATAGATTAAGCTCGTGAAATTCCTTTTCTCCTTAAATATAAGACCTTCTTAGCTTAACTTGGATTTAGATGTTTATTCTCAGGATTTAGGAATAAATCAAAAATGACAGACATTATAGTTCAGCACAGACAAGAGCATTCCTTCTCACCACCAAACCCATCTCCTGTCTCCTGCTTTCCCATTAAGACCCCAAAAAAGGAATCCATCCTCTTCTGAGATTTCAATATCTACTGTTCCATTTCAGAGTTCTCCTCTCCAAAGTGAGAGATGCTCCCCACAATTTTATTCCCTCTCCCAGTCAGACATCAGCATAAATTCCATTGATCAAATAATCCAGCCTGGTGTAATGCCTCTTCTGAAGAGATTCATGGATTTTCCTCCCTGTCAGCACAATAACCAGCAACAGGAACATCATCCCAAAAAACAAAGCTGCTACAAGGCTGCTTTTTTCCCCCAGCTGAAAGACACCTATCCCCCTCAGAACACCTTCTGACAGGGAGCTCTCTGAGTCAGATGGGTCATAACCCTGAAGGTCATTTTGGGAAGATGCAGGGGAATCGCTGGACAGAATGAAACCTGGAAAAGAGAGCAGGGTCACAGGGCTGGAATCACTGGAAGTGACAACTGTTGGCTCAGGAGCCATGGCTGGAGTCCTTAGCCCTGATAGGGCAGTAGCAGATCCAGAATTCGTGGTCACCTGCACGGTTGTAGAAGGAGAAGCAGAATCTGTGGGCTTGGAAAGAGGAACACGATGAGTGGCAGTGATGCTGGAGGCAGGGACAGCAGGATTAGCTGCAGGTGGAGAGGCAGCTGTGCTGAGGCTGGCTGTGGTTGGTTTGGCAGCACCAGGATGCAGAGAGGTTGTAAGAGACTCCAGCTGGGCAGTGCCTGCTGGCAGAGCAGCAGGAGGAGCACTGCTGGTTTCAGGGGCACCAGCCCGAGCAGAGGTGGGGAAGGAAGCAGAGGGGTTTCCAACTGGAGCAGCAGAAGGAGTGCTGGGTCGCACATTAATTCCCTGCTGCCTTGAGATGGGGTCCAAGCTCTCAGATTCTTTTGCTTTTTGAGATTCAGGAGAAACTGTATGAAGTTCCATGTTGTCCAAATGCTTGCCTATGTGGTTCAGGAGCTCAGATGCCTGATGAAAGACAGACTGCTCCAAACTGGCAGTGTGATTCTGATGGATGTCCTGATTGTGAGAAATAAAGGTTCCAGCATCCGAAGGCAAAGAATACTCATTTGAAGAAAAGTTCTCAGTCTTGATGGATTTATCTTCTGGGAACAGAAATACTCATATTTAATGATGAAATCTATTTTTGACTAATGTAGGCATACCTATTTTGTATTTCTTAGAAATATTTATGTAAGGGGGCTCTAAGAGATAATGACTAATGAAACTTCCTCTGTTTAAAATAAGCACAGTAACATTTAAAGTCTATGTCATAAAAGCTGTCAGCCTCAAGCCTACTCACATAACAGTGTTCTGTGCAGAAATACCATACAAATAATAATCCTAAAAGATACCTGATTTTACTGTATTTTTTCTACAGTATATACCTGATTTTACAGGTATTATAGAAAGCTTTTGGCTGAGCATGAGCTGTTGGAAAGACAGGCTGTCAATTCATATTATATATAATTTTATAATTTTGTTTATAAAATATAGAAATATATATAATATATTCATGATAACCATTCAGCTGCTGCACAGAACATTTAAAAGAGAACATGCTCTCAAGTAGTTCCGACTCTCATTCATCTCTTTTTAATACTGAAACAAAAAGGTTTGTTAAATGCACTGAAATTGAAATAAATAAAGTATCTTTTCCCCTTTCAGCTTGGTTTTCAGTGTAACCACATACAGATTCTCATATGAAAGAACAAAGTTTGAAACATTTGTTGCTACCGATACTGCTCAGGTGCTACCTTTGAAAACTTACCAGGAACATTAAACAAGCTAGCATAATCTTTCTGCAGTTAAATGCTCACAGAAGATCAAGTCTCCAAAAAGAAAAAGAAGTGTTAAATGCAATCACGTTTTTCACTCAGCATTGCATTACAAAGAAGTGTTAAATGCAATCACATTGTTCACTCAGTGTTGCATTACATGCCGAGCAAAAGCACAAGCATGATTGCATTTCTTGTTTCTTTGTTTGAAACCCCGATGTTCTTCCAGGGGAGAAAGAAGTGTAATTTTAGTAATAATTTTACAGAAAAGCAGTTTGTTTGTTGCACATTGCTTTTGCATGATGCCTGTGAGATTGGGTTTGCACAAAAATACTGGTAACATTCCGAGAGTAAACTTTCTATATTTCATACTCTTGCTCCTTGCACAGTTCCTCTTGGAAAAGTTCTCTTTTCCAGCAAAAGTTTGGTCTCTCAAGCAGCCATACAGAAACCACCTTGGCATTATCAGTTTCTTTATCAGTTTCTTATCTGAGCTGTTCAAACAGGTCTGGTGCAAGTCAATGTCAATCAACAAGTAGGCCTTGCTGTTAAAAAAACCAGCACAGGCCAGAGAGCAAGAAATTCCTGAGTGTGCAGCCCACATGCCATAAAGCTCTGAGTTTAGAAAGTTTGCTTCTGCACTCACTTCCCTAACTGAATGCAGAAAATAATGATTATTAATTATTATTATTGCCAATTATTCATCAGTGTAGCATGGGTCCTTTAAATACACAGCTGGCTACAAGGGTGTGGTATTTTCATTGGGTTTTGTGACACTTTTCAGTATTATGTACAGGAAATTTTCCTTCCTGACTATATCTAGATGGAAGCAGCTTCTTTTTGTTTTAAGCAAGGACAAATTATGAGGATTTCTGAATCTAATATGAAGGAATATTATAAGGGTTGGGACATTATTCCAGGCTGGAAGTTGGGCCCACAAAGGAGCTCACCACACACCTGCCCATCCATCCTCCACAATGGAAAAGAACAATATTTTTAAATCATAATGCTTGGCTTAGAACACTTTGCTAAAAATATGAGCCCCCAAACAGTTCCTGGTCACTGCTGAAAGTTCAAGGTGCAAAAGTCATTTTGCAGTGTGGTGTAGGGGCTGATGGCTCTCACTATTATTTACCTGTAGTTATCCTGTAGCTCACAAGTCCTGTTGCAGGTTTCATTGGACAAGCCTCAGTGCTAGGACAGTAAAACAAGTAGCAGTTTGGATGTGTGCTTGCTCTTGCAGCATAAAAAATAATCAAATTACACTTCTTGTCTCCTGCAAAACAAAGTAAATACCTGTTTCAGCAGTAAGGACTTTTATAGCAGTATGGTAATGAGATCTAGTTTGTTAACTTTTACTCATGTGAGTAAGAGGAAAACTACTAACACATAACATTCCTACAGGAAAAACCGCCAAGGACTGCAGAAGAATGGCCCAGGGCCAAAATATGAAAGGTCACACCTTCCTTTTCCTGTACAAATGAAGCTGGGGAAATTATGAGTCTAATCTCTCATCCTCCCCTCACGCATACCACACTGGCACCACTTTATACAACAATTGCTCGCTTACAAATCCTGATAAATCTGAAAACCTCCTTGATATACTCATGGGGAAGAAAAATATTTAGATATTTTTCGTTATTACATCCCAGGAATCACTTGGCTAGTTGCTGCTTAGGGGGGTCACCTTCACCACTGCCATTTCTACTTGCTGCTCTGCCTCCTACTGCTCCAAGAGCTTGATTCAAACCAGCTGTCTCACAGGAGGGTGAGCATTCTCATTTTTGGCTAAAATTAAATACAGTGCAAAATATCGGGTAGTTTTAGTCCATTTACTAAATACAGCTTAAGCACGTTCGGGGTTGGGGATTTGGGAGGTTTTGACACTGTTTCTGTGGTGCAACTATTTTCCTGAACACTACGGGGTCTTCTTGCCTTAACTACTGGCAAAAGAAGGTAGCAGCTGCAAGCTGGAGCTAAGCGCAGCCTGAATGAGAGGGTAAATCCCGTGCTGAATTGGGAGAACATCACCCCGAGAGCCCAAACTGCAGAATTATCCTGCCAGGCAGTGGCGGAGAAGGAGGCCGAGGTTACCTGCGAGCCGGTGCCCCGAGCAGCAGGCGCGGACACACGCACCCACGCCGGGGACGCGCAGCGGCTCCGCGCCCCGCACGCCGCGGGGCAGGGACAGGTCTATATCGAGGATGGAATTCTCCATCTTCTCCGCCGAGCACTCCTGGCCCAGCGCCGGCCCGGCCATCAGGCAGGCGGTCAGCAGCAGGCGAACCGGCCAGCGGCTGCCCCGGCGGGACATGGTGACCCGGGCCGGTGCCCGCGGGGCTCCTCCGGGACTGGCGCCGAGGGGGCTCCGCTGCTCCCGGGGCGGGAACGCGTTCCTGGGACACCTCCGGGGGCGGGAAGGCAGCGGCGGAGCCTGGCCCGGCTCGGGGGAACCGCGGCTGTCCCGGCACGTCCGGGAGGAGGGGCCCGGGGAGGCGGGCCCGGGACGCCTGCTGCCCTTCTTCTCCTGCCTGCCTGCCCTCCTCCTCCTGGAATTCCTGCTTACCTATCTACCTGCCTTCCTTCTGCCTTCCTCCTGCCTTCCAGCCTGCCCTCCTTCTCTCTTGCTTCCTTCTCCCTGCCCGCCATTCTCCATTCCCATTCCTGCCTTTTCTCCTGCCCTCCCTCTTTCTCCCTTGCTTCCCCCCTCCTGCCCTCTTCCTCCTGCCTGACCTTCTCCTGCCTTCCTCCCGCCCTCCTCCTCCTGCCTGCCCAGCAGGGCTGCGAGGGTATTCCCACTCCTACAGCCAAGGGTCCTTCCTGAGCATCAAGGCACAAGACAAAACCACCTAGAGAAGCTCTTGGTGGTCAGGCTGCTAGGCTTTACTCACAGTCAGACTTTTCCACCTCCTGAGATCTGCTTTTGGGAGCTGTAATGAAAGAGATTAATATGCATATCCTGGATTAAACGGATGTGGACATAGTTCTGTGTGTGTGTGTGTGTAAAGGACTCCTTGCTACCTGAGTAATCCTGTTCAAATCATAACCAAGGTGTTTGTGGAATGGGGAAAAAAATGAACAAAAAAGCCTGTCTACTGGAACCCTGACTGGTGTCTTGGCCATTCTTCTGTCAGCTGTCTCAATGCAATTGCTTAGTTAAGTCATGGTTTTGCTTGGAAATTTTCCATTTCCTCTTTTTAGTTCTTTTTCCTTACTATTTTGGGGTAGTGTTTAGGAGTAAAAGTAGACCAAAGGAGTGCAAAGAATAAAAGGATTATAAGACAAATTCCTTCTTTTTCAGGAAAGAGATGATTTTATTTTCAGAGATGTGCATTACCAGAAGAGATCCCAAAGGGCAGGTTAGTTTATGTATTGTAATGGTTAGATACCAAGGCATGGGTAGCTGTCTTGTTTTTCATGCCCAGTCTGTCCCTTTTGTCAGTACTGCTGGATTTTGGCTTTTATTTGGACATAAGTGTTGTAACAGACTGAGCCCACCATCTCATTTTGCATCACATGGCCATCTTGGGGCAATTAATAATGTTTGTGATTCTCACAGTCTTGGTGGGATGGTTTCTCCTAAAATTCTCCGCTGCACTTGTTTAAGAAAACGTTCCTTTCTAGGTAAACTGGTGACATTATTTTCACTGTTAAAAGAAAAAGTCCCAAGAGAATCTGAACATTAAGGCGTTGCCTGCTAACTGCATCACACAGTGAATGAACAGGGGAATGAATACTAAAGGCAAGCACAGGTATTACCCCTGCAATGTATTAGACAAAGTTGCAGCTTCCACCTGCCTTTTCTTACATAGAGGTGGAGGAAGAAGCCAAGCAGAAAGAAGCTGAAAAATAAGGCTAAAGGTCTGGCTGAAGTGGTCAGAACAGCTGAGGAAACTGGATTTTCACCTGAACTGTTGGGATGGTGAATGTGAGAATATGCACAGAGACTGCCATCTCCCAACGGCCAACAAATATCTCACAGTCCAAAGCAAGATCTGGAGGGATAAGCTGAATTTCTGACTAACAGACACATCACTTTACAACTATAAAAACCACACCAGACTTCCACAAAGCAGAAATCTTCTACGTATTTCCCTGGAATTGTGGGGAGTTTCTCCCCTGAGCAGGGACACCGCTTTGTGGATACTCTCCTGGAGGCTGAGTGAAGGAATCTGTGAATGTTATTGATCTTTCAGTGGGAAGTTACAAATCACTCCTAATATTATTTCTTTTGCTACCTTTAATAGAGGCACCTTGATATCATGCACTGTTTTATGTTATGCTGTACTCTACCCCTAGTTGTTTTAGTTTTATACTGTGTAGTAAGTAATTTTGATTAAGATCTTTTGTCTGTTTATCACTTGTCTGTTCAATAAAGAATTCATTTTTATAAATAGACCTGATCTGCCATCACTAAAACTTGCAGGCCAGAGCGAGTCCTTACATTTAAATAGTTGCCAAAATCTGAGCAGAGCTTATCTGAAACTGCCACTCTTCCCATGGCACTCTTCCTATAGGAGAGATGCTCCAGCCCCACATCATCCTCTGCTAGACCCTCTCCTCACCACAAACTGGGAAATGAGCTCTCTCACCCAGTTTGTTAGGTTAGAAACCCGACATTGCTTTATTCAGCACACAGGTACATGGGTATTGCCTCATCAAACATGTTAATCAGAAATCAAAACTTTTGACTATTCATACATTTTGGTAAATAAAGGAATTCATTGGTTACTGGTAATGTAGTTCTCTTATTAATTAGTATTCTATCTTCTATTAGTTAATGATTCACTCGTTTTTCATGTTAATTAGTCCACATGTGTCGCAGACATCTTTTATGAAAAAATATTTTCCTTAAGATTTTTCCTTCTGAGAAGCCTCAAGAACAAAATGTAAACAGTGGTTATCTGCTGCTGTGGAATGCAACAGGCGGATCTGTGATTGGTCTCATAGAGTTGTTTCTAATTAATAGCCAATCATAGTCAGCTAGCTTAGACTCTCTGTCCAAGACAGAAGCTTTTGTTATCATTCCTTCCTATTCTATTCTTAGCTAGCCTTCTGAGGAAATCCTTTCTTCTATTCTTTTAGTATAGTTTTAATGTAATATCCATCATAAAATAATAAATCAAGCCTTCTGAAACATGGAGTCAGATCCTCATCTCTTCCCTCATCCAAAGATCCCTGTGAACACAGTCACACACATGCTCAGTTTTTCTCTTCTTTTGGGTTTAGGAGTTTTTTGGGTTGGTGGCCTGTGATCAGTGGTTGGAGGTCCCCCCTACCAGAATGACCTTTGGAGCTCCCAATTGGAGCTGATTTCAGCACAAATACTGAGCATCCCTGAATGGGCCAGGGAGGGATTTTCCTGCTTTGCTCTAGGCTGGGGCAGCCTCACCTCAAATATTGTGTGAAGTTTTGGGTGCCACAATGTCAGAGAGACATTAAACTATTAGAGGGTGTCCAAAGGAGAACATGAGGATGGTGAAGGGCCTTGAGGGGAAGCGTGTGAGGAGCAGCTGAGGGCACTTGGTCTGTTCAGCTGGAGGAGGCTGAGGGCAACCATGGCAGTCACAGCTTGTGCTGAGGGGAACAGGAGGGGCAGGCCCTGAGCTCTGCTCTCTAGAACCAGGGACAGGAGCCAGGGAACGGCTGGAGCTGGGTCAGGACAGGGGCAGGCTGGAGATCAGGGAAAGGTTCTTCCTCCAGAGGGTGTCGGGCACTGCCCAGGCTCCCCAGGGAATGGTCACGGCCCCAAGGCTGCCAGAGCTGCGGGAGCGTTTGGACACCGCTCTCAGGGATGCACAGGGTGGGATTGGTGGGGTGTCTGTACAGGGACTGTCGGGGTTGTACTCGATAATCCGTGTGGATCCCTCCAAACTCAGGATATTCGGTCATAGGCTCCTTTTTAAAGAAATATAACCTATCCGGCAACACCGAGGAGCACAGAAGGCGACACAGCACTACAAACATCGGCCTCACTAGGGAGAGCAGCGGAGGAGCATCCTCCCATGCCACACACACCAA